ACCTAGCACATTCAAGGCCCTGGGTTCAATCCTCAGCACCGCATAAAAAGTAAACAAATAAAATAATTTTTAAAAAGTTAAAAAAAATTGTTTTAAAAGGCACAGATTTAAAAATTTTAAAAATCAATTTTAAAAAATTTAAATTTTGTATTTATTGCAGAAAATTTATAAAATATAAAAATTGACAAAAAAAGAAAATTTAAATTATTCTGGTGGAACTCTTATTAATATTCTGGCATATAGGCTCTCAAATACATATATGTTGGCCCCACGTGGTGGTACATGCCTGTATAGTCCCAGCTACTCAGGAGGCTGAGGTAGAGGATTGCAAATTCCACCCCTGGGTTCAGTCCCCATGTTATGGTTTGGATGTGAGGTATCCCCCAAAAGCTCATGTATGAGACAATGCAAGAAGGTTCAGAGAAGAAATGATTGGGTTACCAGAGCTTGAACCCAATCAGTAAATTAATCACCTGATGGGATTAATTGAGTATTAACTGAGGGCAGGTGGGGTGTGGCTGGAGGAGGTGAGAATTTGGGGTGTGGTTTGGGGGTATATATTTTTATCTTGCAAGGGGAGACCTGATCATCTCTTGAGCTGCTTCCCTCTTCCACACTGTTCTGCCATGATGCTCTGCCTGCCCTTGAGCCTCAAGGAATGGAGCTAAGGACTAAGACCTCTAAAACCATGAGCCCTCAAATAAACTTATTCCTCTACAGCTGTCCTGGTTGGGTCCTTTAGTTACAGCAGCCAAACAGCCCACCACAAAATAAATATGTAAATAATATGCCAAATACATAGTGGTCACATACACATTTCACACTCAACATTTCTTTCAGATGAATAAAGGGCAAGCCAGGCGTGGTGGTGCATGCTTGTATCAGCAGCTCAGGAGGCGGAGGCTGGAGGAGCCCATATTCAAAACCAGCCTCAGCAACTTAGTGAGGAAGCCCTAATCAACCCAGTGAGACCTGTGTCTAAATAAAAAATTAAAAGGGGCTGGGGATGTGGCTCAGTGGTTGAGCGCTCAAGTATCAAAAAAAAAAAAAAAAGAGAGAGAAAGAAAGAAAGAAAAGGAAGAAGGGCAAAATAAAAGAATTGTTGGCCCATCTTTTTCAAATTAGGGCTCACAGTCCAACTTTTTTTTTTTCAGTTGTAGATGGACCCAATACCTTATTTTATTTATTTTTTATGTGGAGCTGAGGATTGAACTCAGTGCCTCACACATGCTAGGCTAGTGCTCTACTATTGAGCTACAACTCCAGCCCCCCAACTTTTTTTATGCTGGAAATCAAACTCAGCATATTACACATGTGGCTGTACCACTGAGCTACGTCCCCAATTCTGCCTACATATTTCCATCATCTTTTTAAATGTGTTTCTCCTACCCTTGGATCCAGGGTGGAAAATAAGTTGTAAATGGGGTGCCAGATCTAGCAGCAAGGGTGGAGACAATTCCTTATCTTTCTTTTTCTAAATTGAGGCTCAAGAATTTGTAAGGGAGGGCTGGGGATGTGGCTCAAGCGGTAGCACGCTCGCCTGGCATGCGTGCGGCCCGGGTTCGATCCTCAGCACCACATACCAACAAAGATGTTGTGTCCGCCGATAACTGAAAAATAAATGTTAAAAATTCTCTTTAAAAAAAAAAAGAATTTGTAAGGGAAATAAATTATTGCAAAACAGCTTTATTTTTGTGAGATAACATTGGAGGTCCCCAAGTTGGACAGCTGCAGTCAGTCACATGCTTAACAGAACAAAGAGTTCTACAAAGGAAGAAGTTAACTTTAGCTTTGAAAATCCTTTTATCCTCCATGATTTTGATGCCTTTAAATTTGTCACCTGAATGCGATATTAACATAATCGTCTGCATTTCAACTAATGAATGCACCTGCTTCTAAGACTTTATTTTAGCAGTTTTAATGAGCTCTTCAAAAGAGTTTGCCTGGACTTACTGCACTGCTAGAGAAATAGCAGCTGTAAGCAAGTAACAACACATTCAGTATTTGAATCAAGTTCTATGAAGTTGTTAAACTTGAGAAGGAGTATCCATCCATCTGTCTGTGATAAGGGAAATGAAGTTGAGATATAGCTGAGGCATTTGGAAAAAGCACTAGTGTAAGTGGGTCTGACCAAAGGTTATTCCTTGTTAGGCCATAATTTATGGATCTCAGGCAATTCATTTAGCCAAGTGCCAATTTTCTCATTGTTTTAGTCAATTTTTTTTATCACTGTGACCAAAAAACCTGACAAAAACAACTTAGAGGAGGAAAGTTTATTTTGGCTCATGGTCTCAGAGGTTCAGTCCATGGCTGGTTGACTCTGCAGTTCTGGGCCCAGGATGAGGCAGGCCATCATGGTGGAAGGCCATGGTGGTGGAAAGCAGCTGGAGACATGGCAACAAGGAAGCAGAGAGCAAGATCCACTTACCAAGGACAAAATGTAAACCCAAAGGCATGTCCCCAGTGACCTGCCTCTTCTAGCCTACAGTTACAATCCAGTTAGTTAATCCATATGTGTAGATGAAGCCAATGACTAGATTAAAGCTCTCCTCTGAACTTCCTGGGGGGACCATAACACTCTTCTATATAATAATGACAGTACTTGTTTATAAGTCTGTTGTAAGAATTACATACCTTGGGCTGGGAGTGTGGCTCAAAGGTAGAGTGCTCGCCTAGCATGTGCAAGGCCCTGGGTTCAATCCTCAGCACCACATAAGAATAAATAAAATAAAGGTATTGTGTCCAACTACAACTAAAAAATAAATATATACATAAAAAACAATTACATGCCTCACCTGTTATAAGCACTCAATGCTAAATTTTATTATAATTATTATGTTTATTGTTAAGAAGATAAGCCACATATTGCAGGAATCCACTTATCAGAACTATCCAGAATCGTTAAATCCACAGAGAAGAAAGTTTGTCGGTGGTTGCCAGAGAATAGGGGGAGAAGGAATTGGGAGGCAAACTCTTCATGGGATTTAGGATTTCCTTTCAGGGGTGATGAAGTTGTTTTAGAACTAGATACAAATGGTGGTCACACAATGTCATGAATATATTAAATGCCTCCAAACTGTTCACTTTAAAATGTTCCCTTTCATTTTGGAAATTCACCTCAAATCTATTTTTAAAAGTATTCCTTAAATATGTGGCATCAGGGGCCGGGACTGTAGCTCAGTGACAGATCGCTTGCCTAGCACATGTGAGGTTTGATGCTTAGCACCATATAAAAATAAACAAAATAAAGGCTTGCTGTTCTTCTACAATTACAAAAAAAATTTTTTTTTAAAATATGTGCTTTAGGTGGATCAAACAAATTCTATTTGATTGGCTGTAGGTGAATGGTGAATAATTGCTCATGGAGACCTAGAAAAGATCATCTGATTTCTTTTACTCAAGTAATCAGCATGCCTGTTTCAATGCTGAATCATGCCTTGACCCTACGGTGAAGATTTCTGAAAGAGAAGACATCAACCAACCTCTTGACGCCCAAACCCCTAAAGCAATCCTGTATGCCATTTAGAATTTTTAAATATCATGTGGCTGTTAGCATACTAGGATACTTATTTACTCTTAATCTATATTAATTCTTTTTATTATGTAATCAAATTCTTTCCATGCTTGTTACACTCTGACTTCAATCACATTTTCATGATTGTAATCTCCCTCCTCCTTTCCTTCCATCTGTTCCTCTGTGTACTTTTATTTGAAAAGTAAGGAGTAATAACCCATGCAGAACTCAATTGAATGGAAAATGAAAAATGGGACCAATGTTGCTTTAAAAATGTACAAAACAGACACATTACAGATCAAGTGAAAGTAACATCCTGGAGGACAGATGCGGTAGACTTTGATATATCTGTCTGTCTGTCTGTCTGTCTGTCTGTCTCATGTAGGGAGTTCAAAGGTGGGATAGCTATTAAGAAAATGAAAAATTCTCCAATTCCCTTTTTATTTTATTCCTCAAATAGTAAAACAAATATTTTGGCTGGAATGAAGGTAATTTATTCTCTGAGTGCTCTTCCCCTTCACAGGATTCTGACCGGTTCAAGAATCTTCATCAACTTGATACAGGGGTTTCTTTGGAAAGGCACTGATTTCTAGAATCCCCCAAATGAAATCTGCTAGAATAGGTAGCCTGCTGATAATGGCATGTGCTCCCATATTCCAGAAGTTCTACAGTATCCAGGACGGCATGGTGCATCTCTCCAGGAGACATTCAGTTCTACTGAGACCTCAGCTTCAAAACCTGAGAAAACCACCCCAAAGGAGTTCACCTCCGGCCCCCTCAGGCAGTGCTCTGCTATTGCCATCATTGACCTCATACAGATGAGCACCTGTTGTCTATGGCCTTGCTGTGCCCACACACTGTGGTCCTCAGAAGGGAGGCCTCAGTATCTCCTAGAAGCCAGTTAGAAACCCAGACTCAGGTCCCACCCTAGACCTGGTGAATTGGAATCTGCAGCTTCACAGGATTCCCAGGGGATTCCCATACACAATTAGATTTAGGAAGCAGTGGTCTAAGGGATCTACCTAAGATTGCAACTCACCATGTCCTGCTTCAAAGTTGTATCCATCACTTTCCACCTCCAGTCTCTATACAGATTTCTGTGTAGGGCTCCAGGGCAAATTATCTCTGATTTTGGATAAGTTCCCAACCAGTGGGTCTTGCAGCGATCTGCATTTCTATGGTTTGGGTGGTCAAGTGCTTATATAGCACAGACTCCCACTGGGCAAACGGAGCCCATTCCCCTCCAGGTCATCTTGCCCTCTTTATTGCCACAGCGCCAGAGTTACCATGTTCATAAATTATTGTTAAAGAAGGAAATTACCAAAAGAAAAAAAAAGTGTCTATAAACCTGCATAGTTTAGAGCTAAAGAATATGTTAAAATTTTCCATCGTGGAAATTTCCCAGCTACTGGGCTCTTTAGATTTTTTTTTTTTTTTTTTTCAGAGCTGCAAGCAAAGAATGGAAATTTCCAAATGCAGCATCAAGGGCTGCTGTTCTGCTGACTGTCTTGCTCAGCCGGGGTCATCTGCTTCTCTAAGACATCAAGGAATGCCAAGGTAGGTCTGAGAGAACACATACACTTCCTCCGCAGGAAGGAGGGAATATCTTTGTGCTGCTACTGAGCCATGATGAGGGGAGGGAGGGGCAGGGGAGGGGACACGCCCTGCTCCCTCCAGCTGAACGTGAAGTTTGTTGATTGTTATCATCTATCAGCAGCTTATCCTACTTGACATTTTTCCAGGAGAAGCAGGCTGGCAGGATTCTTGTTTTTTTTAAAGAAATTCCTAATTGGGTAGGAGATCCAGAGGGAGAAAGGGAACCAACATTTGTTAGGGTACTCCACCAGGTAGTTGTGTCTATTTAATCTTTCTGTGACCTGCCCAAGGTTAACTTCCGATTTTCTACAACCAAAATTTGAAGTGTCCTCTGTTCTTCCAAAGCCAACCCAACCCCCAGTGCATTAATTAGTTATCTGCAAACATCCGGGGTTTTTTGTCTCCACCCTCTTCAATAATGTCAACAGTTCTGTTCCTTTTCACTGTATCTAAGTTGAAATATAGTCCCCTTCACAGCTGGTTCTGAAGCCAGTCAACAGGAGTCTAAATAGTTCTTTAAATTCTGGCACATTCCTCTCCAGCATTCTGGTAGTGGCATTTCTGTTGAAGTCTGAGTGTAAAGGCTTTGGCTTCTTGCAGACAAGTCCAATGACCCTCACTGGTTCTGGGCCAGAAAGAACATTTTTCAAACCCAAAGCTGTGTGATTTTTGTCTGAGTGGTTTGGGAGTTTCGCTTTTAGATTTTCTGAAGATTTTGAGATAGTCTAAGAAGCAATGGCTACCAAGTTCGCTGTCTTTTTACTGACATCCCTAGGGGACCAGGAAAGGAACAGTGAAGGAGGTTTTCTGACATCACTGTTGCTATTTATACCTAACATTATTTATCGAGGCAAGTTTGTAATAGTGAAGATTTTTTAGCAAGAAATTAAAAAAATCATCCCATGGCTGGTGAGTTAAAAAAAAATTATCCCATTTTTTTTGCCTTTTCAGTCACATCCAGAAACAACAGATAGCAATGTCCTAAGGGACCAGTTTTGCCACCACCTGATAAAAAAGGTGGAGGGGAATGGAAGGATTGGCAGTGATGTCATAGGTCAATTTAGACTTTAGTGACAAAGGCTGTTCAGTTTGGTCATTGGTTATACCTGCTGCGTCTGGTTCCTAGTGAAATCTGTCAAGTGGTATTTGAGTACAGGTCTGGTTCAGGCTTCTTTCCACTCCTCCTCTGTATCTGTCATTAGCTACAGGATAATGGTCCTCTTAGTCGAAGACACTGATGATTCATATCTGTGGGTGGGGCTGAAGAGACATGTATGATGAATATTTCTTTCCACTTGAGACCACAGAGATGACTTTTTAAAAATGCGTGGTCAGGATACATGCTGTTTTAGCTTATGATTGATTGTTTGTGATTTTAAACGTGGCCTCAATTCCATCCCTCCTGTTTCCCTTCCCCGTGCAATGTGACTTTGCAGTTCCTCTCATCACGAATGGGAGTCTATTCCCCCTCCCCCTTGCATCTAGGCTGGCCTTTTGACTTGCTTTGGCCACGCAACAGAAGTAACAGTGTGCTGTTTCCAAGCTAGCCTCAAGTCTGTGCTTCCACTTTCTCTCTCAAAACCTCCCACTCGTAACTAAGCAAGCCCAGGCCAGCCTGCTGGAGGACAAGAGTGTGTGCAGGAGGGATGAACTGTCCCCCGCTGAGGTCACCCTAGACCAGCCAGCCCCAAGCCAACAAGCCAGCTGACCACTGTATGAACAAGTCCACCAAGATCAGCTGGACCACCCAGCTAACTCACCAATTCATAAGACATACTAAAGGACCGTTGCTTTAAGGCTCTAAATTTTCAGATAATTTGTTATGAGGAAATAGGTAACTACTAGAGGAACAATTCCTGTCTTTTAGTTGGTATCTGACAGCCAGGAGTCTCAGAGTCAAATCTGAAAGGTAATCCTAGCATCTACATTGATTCATTTATTTTGTATATATTTCATACTTTATGGCTAACATATTTGCAATCTTCTTGCTCCTTACTAGTGAATTTTTTTAAAAAAATCCAATAAACCTATTGTTTATCACACTGATTCTCAACCAACCCAAGCCCTTGTTTTAAATATTGGTTTTGATTTATCAGATTAGGAAAACGGAATCTAGAGTAAGGATTGGCAAACATTTAGTGTAAAAGGCCAAGTAGGAAATATTTCAGGTTTTGCAGGCTGTACAGTCTGCTGTGCTGTGGCAGCGCTGAAGCAGCCACAGACAACATGCAAACAAATGAGCATGGCTGCGCTCCAGTAAAACGTAATTACTAAAGCAGGCCATGGACCGGATTTGGTTCTCAAGCCACAGCTTGCTGACCTCTGATCTAGAGCAATATAGGACTATTCCAAAACATCTTCACCTATACCATGATTCCATCAACTTTATTGTTAATTCACCTCTACTACTTTGAAAAAAAAATTAAAAGACAAATTGAGTGGACTGACTTCTTCTAGGATACACAACGGGACTGACTATAGAGCGCTTATACCAGGCTTATACAATACCTCATCACTAAAACTCCAGAGCCGCTTGTCCTTGGCTGGTTGTTTAGTTCATGCTAAAGGCCAGAATGATACAAGCAAAGTCTCCTTTGTTTTGTTTGATTTAACAGCCTCTAATCTCAACTACTCATTTCACAAACACAGGCTGTGTGTTACACTGATGATGGGGCTGCTCTTGTACTTTGCCTGCTTGGAGTTCCCTGAATGTATTGTGCTATTTCACGCCTCTCTAACTGTGCACACAATGTTCCTTCTGCCTGGAACACTCCTAGCCCTCTTCTCTTGCTGGCTAACGCCTACTCACTGATCAAAACCAAGCTCAATGATACAGCCTCTTGGAAGACTTCCCCGAGTGCACCTCCACTTCCTCACCCTCAACCTCCAGACCACACTCAGTCTCAGCACTCATGCTACAGAACTAATAAATAAAAGAGGTAATGCTTCTATGGGACCAGAACTCATATATATACACCACACACTCGTATATACCGTCATTTAATTAAAATTGGTGGTATAACTTGCTTGTTTCCCCAGGCCAATCACATTCAGAAACCCTGATTGAGCATTTTCTGACTCTTGGGCTAGGCTACACAAGTCATTAAAACAGCGATTTACAATGTAGACTGTAGACCCACGGAGGCACCAACTGCCTATTCTTTGTTTTCACTTCTCAAAACCTAACAGTGTCTGGAGCAAAGACTTTAATATTAGATGAACCCAGTATAGAATACATTCTAGCATGTTCTAAGACCCGTATATTTCTAACCTCACTTAATCCTCATAACATCTTTATGGGGGAGCTGATATAATTATCACCATTTCACATACAGGGAATCGAAGACACAGAGAATTTTTAGATAACTTTACCAAGATCACACACCCAGTAGGTGACAGAGCGGGTCCCAGAGGCCCTGTTCACACCTGTGGGGTGAAGTGAAAGCTAGTGACTGACTCAGCATTAACTTATTTCTACTCCTGGAAAAAACGGCTCCAAAGGAGGCGCTTGCGAGGTCATGCGTGACAGTGGTTATATGCTTGGGCTTACAAGTTGATGGCATTGTGTTCACGTTGACACTCAAGTGCGCCGTGTGAGTAGAGTTGTGAGTAGCATTAGCGGTACCTGCAAGGTCTGCTCTTGTTCCGCTCTTGCAGTAACAATTGCATTCTGAGCTGCAATCTGATTTCCCCCCCCATCCTCTCCTCCCTTTGGGTGGCACTCACTGGCGCTTGAGGAGTGACTCCCGGGCACCGTCAGCAGGCTGTCTTTGTCTTCCCTGGTGGTGATCGTCCAGTAGAACCACCCATGCCACCCTGTTCCAGAGATGAGCTTAAAATCTCTGCGCTGGACATTGCTAGGTGTTGAGAAGATGAAGAGGATGCAGAGTCTCAGGGACACCCAGCTTATGTTACAAATTACTGTTGTTAAGTTGCTGAAGCAAAGGGCATTTTGATGAAGACTACCCAGGACTGCTACAATGCTTGAGAAGCTGGCACGGGCAATGTTTGGTAAAAGTTTGGGGGCCAGTCACTCACTGTGGCTCTGGAAGTCCCCATGGGGCCTCTCAAGCAATACATCAACTCCTTAGGGAAGACAAAGACAGTGACAGACAGGGACTGTCTCATAACTGTCTCTCAGCACAGGCTTGCTCTGCCGAAAAGACAAAAAACAGGTAGTTGGAATAGAATTTTGCTTCTAAAACAAGTTGGGACTTGAAAAGTGTTAGGTTTGAACATTAGGATAGTAGAACATTCAAATGATCACAGGATCTCCACAGAGCCTTGAAGTCCGTGGTCCCTTTGAGTACAGAGCAAATGTATTCCATTTTTCTGTCTCTTGGCAGTTTTCTCAAAAAAAAAAAAAAAAAGCCTCTTTTTCTTTACTCCCTTTGCAAATTAGGTAAATAACAGGAGGCCAACTAGCCTTTCTCGATGGCCTCCACTGATGTTTTAGAGGACCTAACAAATATATCAAGGCCAGGACCAGCTCCTACAGACTTCCAGTCCTCAGTCTGAGGCATAACAGAGGCCAGTATGAGGTCAGAGACTCAGCAGTTTGGTCCTCCAGTCAACCAAATGTCCTTGTAAAACTGTGCAAGCTTGTGATTGTTGGCTTTCCTCCTGGTCAAGAATTAACCATGGGTTGGGCACAGTTGCACATTGCCTGTGATCCCAGTGACTTGGGAGTCTAAGGAAGGAGGATCACAAGTTCAAAGCCCAGCCTCAGAAAATTAGCAAGGCCCTAAGTAACTTAGTGAGACCCTGTCTCAAAATATTAAATAAATAAAATGAAAAGGTCTGGGGATGTGGCTCAGTGGTAAAGCACCCCTGGGTTCAATCCCTACTACCAAAAATAATAAATAAATAAATAAATAAATAAATAAATAAATAAATAAGAATTAATCATGGAACTTCTCCAGGAAAATGTTGATGGCCTATCTGAAAACCTTCAGAAATACCTATTCACATATTTTTTTCAGGGCATTGAGTAGAATTTATAGCACCTTATTTTTCAATTAAAGTAATCCAATTGTTGTATTTATAGCCTGCGTACTACAGTTTAACACTTAAGGATTCTCTGCTTGTTTCATTATGAAAATTTGCATTTTCCCCATCTAAGATCATAAACTTCCTAAGGGCTGAGATCATGTCTTCACTTCTTTAGACTCCTTTGGAGAACCAAACACAGCACAATACCCAGGGGTGGAGGAAGAGTGAGCCCAGGACAGAGTGTGTGTGTGTGTGGGGGGGGAATTTCAGTGCCCCTCCACTCTCTGAAGCTGGGTGTAAGGTCTTCAGGAAGCACTTAAGTCTGAGATGCAATTTTCTCATCTTCAGATTGCCTCTCTTCTCTCACTGGTTGTTGGGAGGATCAAATAAGATAATGCATGTGAGACTATTTTGTAAACCCAGATCTGCTAGCTACTGAAATGTAAGGAATCCTCAGAAGACGCACTTAGTAAATATCTGATTGATTTTTAATGATAAGGTATTGTCTTTCCCTTTCTCCTCTACATTCAGTTCCTTTGAGGGTTTTATTTCTCAGGATTTAATTTTATTTGAGTAGAAAAGCCACTCTGCGCCTTTTCTGATACCATGTAATACATTCCCTAGTGCATTTTACCCCATAGTTACCTTAACATTTGATTGAAATCCGAGTAAGCCAACCAAAAAAGTCCTAACGCATGTCATGCTCACATCAATCACAAAGGATCATGGAGTTCAAGGCATTCATACCCCACTAGGGTGTCAGAGCCTTTCTTATGCTGCTAGCAGAACACTGAAATTGCACCCCAGGCAAGGATCCTGTATATTTTGTATTCCAGCACATCACTGATACATGAGTGTGGCAGATCACGGCTGTAAGCCAAGGCCAGCTGAGAAGAAAATGAAAAACATGGTACCTTATGTGGGAAATTTCACAAAGAGTTGACATTATAAAACAGACTCTAAGAACAATTAATTTGTTTATAGTCTTTATTCCCTATGTGTTGTTAGCAAAGAAGACAATCTCCTGTTGTAACAGAATTCTATATCATACATTGGAAAAATCTTTCCAACAAAATTATTTCTCAGAATGCTTCTAGAAAATATAAAATGTAGTCTCTGGACTCCCTCCTCTAACTAGAGAGAAAGTAAAAAGAGACACTAAGAGTTAAATTAAATGGCATATTCTAGGTTAGTTTATATAAATGTCTGATTCCCCATGGAGTTCTCTAAACCTGAATAACACAAAACTAGAAATATCTAGAAAACCAATGACTTGGCTTTGCTAAGTGTTGCCTTCTCTTACTAAGGCTTTTATTTATTTTTATTTTTTATTTTTTATTTTTTTTTTTGGTGTTGGGGATGGAACCAGGGTCTTGTGCAAGCTTTACCACTGAGCTATACCCCCAACTCCTCCTCAAGCCTCTTTCTTTTTTGGTACCAAGGGTTGAATCTATGGGTGCTAAACCTCTGAGCCACCTTTCCACCCCTTTTTATATTTTATTTAAAGACAGGGCCTTCCTAAGTTGCTGAGGCTGGCTTTGAACTCACAAAGTTCCTGTCTCAGCCTCCCAAGTTGCTGGAATTACAGGATGCTCTACCACACCTGGCCAAGTCTCATTTTTAATAGATATATGAGTAGCCAGTAAAATTATACTCTCACTATACACTAATACGTTTCAGTGTTCAAACCTGATGACATGCTTATTTCTAGTTACATTTTTTGAATAATTTTATTTTTGTTAGGCACTTTTCTCTGTCCCTCTCAGGTTCTCCCCGTTTGGGGCTGATGTGAGGCCAAGCCCTGTCATAGTCAGTAGCAGAATGGAAGTATCTAAGAAGAGGAGGAAGCGGGGACTTAAACTTATTAATGATTCTCTTCCTAGGACGCCATGCCCCTAGGAATGAGAGTTGCAGGAAGACAGTGATAATGGGAAGGGAGGCATTGCCAACAGCCCAACTGCGTTTTTGACCCTTGGCCACAACAGTAGATGGGGAGTGGCAGGTACGTTCAGGGGCATCTCTGTGATTTTAATGCTGAAGGAAGGGAATGTGCTGGGGACAGGTATTATAACCCAAATGTCCAAGGTAGAGAATTTCTTGTATATAATATGTTACTTATTTATTTAATTTATTTCAATTTCTTGTTTGTAATATGTTACTTATTTATTTAACTCATTTCATATATATTACAAATGTTCTGCAGAGTACAAATAGTCTGCAGCATAGAATTATTCTTCTAAGATTTTTCAAGATGTATAACAGTTTATAGTCAAATCATACCCAGAAGAGATCTAAAATAATTTTTAAAGAAAGAAGTAAATTAGACTTGTGAAGTTGGGTAGAAGTTATATGACTTTAATAAAACTTAGGTTTCTTCTTATATATTGTTCCCCATGGTAAAAAGAGCAGCGTTCCTATCTAAGTGGTAGCACTTGTACTATTTGCTTAATTTTAGGATCCTTGATTGCTCTTGGGAACAAGTATACCGCTGTGGCATGAAGTGGAAGGTATAATTTGGAGCCAGACAAGAGAAAAAAGGTTTCTTTGCAAAACAATCTATTCACCTAAATGTAGAAGCATAAAAAAATCAATAATTTTACCAAGTAATCTAAAGCTACATTTCATATGCAAGTTCCATATAGAGTTATAACAAACTTTGCTACATCCCCAGCCCTTTTTTATTTTATTTTGACCCAGGTTTCTCACTTAGTTGCCAGGCCTGGCCTCAAACTTGCAATCCTCCTGCCTCAACCTCCTGAGTAGCTAATATTACAGGTGTGTGCACCATTGTGTCCAGCTCATACCTCTTTAAAAACAAATGCGGTCAGGTGTGGTGATATATACCTGAAATCCTGTGACTTGGAAGGCTGAGGCAGGAGGATCACAAGTTCAAAGCCAGCCTCAACAACTTAGCAAGGCTCTAAGCAACATAGTGAGTCCCTGTGTCAAAATAAAAAGGGCTGGGATGTGGCTGAGTGGTTGAGTACCCCTGGGTTCAATCCCTGGTACCAAAAATAAATAAATAAATGCAATGTGGATAGCAAGCTATAAAATGTACTGCAGTCTTCATTGATATTTGCCTTATCATCCATGATAACTCATTTTGCATTCACTAAAGAATAAGAAGTATAAGGATACATACTTCCTATAATTCATCCCCATGTAGACTTTTGGAATTTGGGAATAATAGGTTTCCTTTTTTCTTAACTTGGTGGACCCTGAAAGGTATATGAGAAGTGCTGTTTGTTGCACCTTGGTCAACACAGGGCTCATTTCCAGCTCTACTTAAGAGACTTGGCAAGATATTTGTTGCTATCTGCATATGATATTGAAGGAAATGAGGAAAATGAGCTTCCTTAGTTATTAGATGGCACCAGTGACCTTGCCTATTATGTCACTATTGAAGAAATAAATTGCATTTCTTCCTCAGCATTTTCATGGTGAATCTCTGAGACACAAGGATATGGTTATGTCAGGAAAAGGCATTTATTTATTTAAGAGATGAAAGCACTTACTTAGAAGAAAACTTTTTACCTGATGGGGGGTGGGGAGATAGGTTAACAAATGATCAAGTCAGTAAAACCTAATGAAAGAAGAAAAAGGAAATAACAAGGAAGTATATAATAAATAGTAGAAACAAAACAATAAGAATAAAAAATGATATATGTTGAAATGCGTTGAATTTCCCTTGCAAAAGATAAACTTTCAGATTGGGCTCAACCACAAAAATTAAGCCATGGATAAGGAACTCAATTCAGAGAAAGTTTTAAAATAAATGATTGAGTAGATATACATCAGGCAAATCCAAAAGAGCAAACAGCAATATTAATATCAAACTGAACACCAAAAGCATTAGATAGAAACAAGAGGACTGAATGTTTAAAGGTACATAGCAGAGATTGGTAGATGCCTGTACCATCTATTTCTCTTCACCCTGGCTAACAAAATCTCAGTTTAATTAAGGACAGCAACGTGTCCAGACTTTTAAAATAATGATTTTCCCACCCCCTTTTATACTAAGTTGTAAGCAGAGGTTAGTGGGTGAAGCCTGATGAAGTTCAATTCTGTGGGGAACTCTTCCTCTTGACCTTCCTCTTTTTCCTCCTTCCTGCCCAGAGTATGTATGTGACAGTGAGAGCTGCAGAAGCCATCTTGCAACTAGGACTTGGAGAGTAAACGCCACATATTAAAGGTGGCAGAATAGAAAGACCATTGCAGTTTAGGTGACCACGAAGCCATTATACCAGTTTTGGTCTCCCTGCCTCCAAACATCTTTTATGCATGAGAAAAATACATCTCTATGTATTGAAGCCACTATTCTTTTTTTAAAAATATTTTTTTTAGTTGTCAATGGACCTTTATTTTATTTATTTATATGCTGTGCTGAGAATCAAACCCAGTGCCTCACACATGCTAGGCAAGTGCTCTGCCACTGAGCCCCAGCCCCAGCCCCCGAAGCCACTATTCTTTGAGTGTCTTTTTTTTTTATATGAAGGGAGCCCAATTCATTTGGCATAAATAAAAATATGAACAAAAGATTTAACAGTCGTCAGCTATTATGCACTAAAAAACAAAGCACAAAATTTAAAAAAAAATATCAAAAGACAAGTAGCACTTTATGAAATGAAATGACAACCACGGGGATAGATTTTAATATACCCCTTACAGAACTTGATAGAATATGACATTAAAAACAAGCAAGAATACAGATGATTATAATTACATTAATTTAAAGCTTATGATATATATAATATGAGTATATGTATGTGAATAGTAAACAGAATATAAACTAGATATTTATACCTTACAAAAAGAGCATATGCAATCTTTTTATATGGATATGGAATGTTGACAAATTCTATCATGTGTGCTCTGTAGCATGCCAGCAAAGTGACCTTGGGCAAGTTACTTGGCCTTTCTGGGCTTTGTTTCTTTATCTATAGGGTAGGGATGGAAATAGTCCCAAATTTTCTCCTTCCTAATTTTAACCTCACCCAGCCTAGTCCTTTCCAGCCGATGGCCATTTACCTACATAATGCTGCTGGTGTGTAACCAGCTCTGTGAAGAGGGGCCGGGCCATGGGATGGCTGTCACTGCTCCATATTGGAAGGGCCAGCAGCAGACTGGAAGGTCAGCATTTCTCAGACTGGCCTCCACGGAACAGGGAACACAGGCTGTCTACCACGGAATTCAAGAGCACCAAAAGAATGTTAAATGGATGGATTGTTGCTTGCAGGGAAAGAAACAGGCACCATGTTTCCAATTATTCTTCCTTTCAGACAACAACTGGCTGTTTCCGCCGGCTGGCACAGTTGCTGAATGCGGAGCACTATAGAGTAAACCCTGCTGAAGAAGGATGAATGTGGGCAGTGAATTTTTTTGACACAGTCTCAGCTTTATTTCTGCTTATTGCTGGCAAAAGCTAGTATGAAGGACAGTCGAAGACAATCGACAAAAACTTTGTCAATGAGGGTTACAGGACAAGAAGTCTTTATAAGCCCCCCCCCCAAATATTAACGTTTTAAGTTAACAAAGATTTTTGGGGAGAGAAGATAGGGCTCCTAGATTGAGCTGTTGGTCAGAACAAGGAAAACACTGATATAAATCTTCAAGACAACCCACAAAATGTTGAAGCATTTAAAACATTTAAAAATAGGTAAATAGACCTGGGTACAGTGACACTCGCCTGTGGTCCCAGTTACTAGGGAGGTTGAGGCAGGAGGATCACTTGAGCCCAGGAGTTCAAGGCCAGCCTAGACAACCTAGAGAGACCGTGTCTGAAACAACAATAGAATAGGTAAGGAAAGGCGAGAACTTCCAGAAACAAGTACTTTAATTTATGAAAATATGTGCATCTATTAAGAATAATATTAAGTGTGTATTTTAATAAATTATTTATTTCACACAAGCAAATTATAAATATATGGGATAAGTTACAAATTATAAATATTCAATATCTTGATATATACTTTTAATAAAATAAGACATAATAAAAATATCAATTATATTAAAAATTAAGTTTTAGCCCTGAACTTAGAGGGCAAACAGAAATCCATTGAAGACAGTCAGCTCCCCAACTCATTTTAGTTCACAAACCCAGGATAAACTGACAAGTCATCTGGGAATGAATAGGGTGCTTGTTCCTTTGCTTCTGGGGATCTATAACAGCATCATCAGAGTAATGCTTGTGTTTTTGCATACATTTGCATGTTCCATCTCAAAGATGTGGATATACAAACAGGTAAATGGAGGGTGTTTTTCTCTTTTTGGTCCACAGTATTTCCTGTCTAGCTATTCCTAACAATTTGTTTTCATCGTCTTAGAGCCTTTATTTTTCACCAATCTCTACTCCTTTCTCTCTTTTAAACATTTTTGTGTGATTGCAAAACCAGTTCCTGTATTCTGCTTTGAATGACCTTCTCATTAATTTCTGCATTCATAAATATTCTTTCCCAGTCTCTGCTGAAGCTGTTGTCATTTACGGATGTTCCAGATGTAGGAGAACATCCAACTCAGGGAGAAGTTTCTTTTAGCTTCTGTTTCTTTCTCTCTCTCTCTCTCTCTCTCTCTCTCTCTCTCTCTCTCTCTCTCTCATATGTATACATATATGAAATGACTACTGTAGTGATAGATTTTAGTATACCCTTTCACAATTTATACAGAGTATCCATTTATCAGGGAGGGAGAGAAGAGAAGGGAGGAGAAACAGAGTAAAGAGAGAGGAGAAAGACAGAGAACAGAACTGCCCAGTCTGAATTATTCTAGAAGCTTGGAGTCTACAGATTCTTAGATTCTTGTTTTCTGCAACCCTTTTGATTAACACAATGTTATCAGGACTATAAGAGCAATTTTAAATTTAACTTGGAAGACAGAGGTAAATATTTGCTGTATTGAATTATAAATTCTTCTCAAAATCAGTGTCGAGAACTACATGAAAATGATTTGAGCCGAGCGTGCTGAGCGTGTGGGGCACACCTATAATCCCAGTGGCTCAAGAGGCTG